GTGGGTAAAGAAAGTGATCAAACAAGTTCCTTCGAATTTTTAGAGGTGTTTACTTCATTCAGAATCATCGTCTGCTTATTTGACGTAAGCAGATTGTATGTAGATTTTTCAGTCTGAACTAGCAATGCCTAGTTTTGCGATGAAGTCATTTGACATCGTTGGGATGCAGAGAAGTGATTGATGTGGTTGAGAACCGTTCTTGAGGATACTGAGACCTTTGCAAGGCAATGTGATGCTTGCAATCAGTCCACCAGAAAAGCTGAATTCACCCCTTCTTTATGGTCATCTTGAGTTAATAGTGGGTAAATGCCAGATTTTGAGAGGTAGTGGATAAAAGTATCACATCACAATCACGCCGACTAACTTCTCAGTTTAACTCAGTTCCATACATCATCATAACCTCATCTACCGAGACTTAATATTATAGTTTCGATCAATGGCTTAGACCAATGACTTCCGATGGCTAGCCAATGTATAAGTCGGTCCCTTCACTCTCTTATGATTAGCTTTGTGGTGCCAGTTAGCCGACGCCGTATAAATAGGACTGCTTAGGCTGAGTGGGTATCGGTCTTACAATCGATCTCCGAATCGTTCCTGTGATAGTTTGCCACTGGCAGGCACCGCTTCTGAGTGGTTACCGGCTCTTTTTTCAAAAAGCTTTTTAGGCGAGTGATTTCCGATGTTAACCCCTTGTCAGATGGGTTCGATACTGCGAGTCATATTGTGATAGCAGCGCTTTTTGTAACGACTTCTTGCTTCAACTGCGAAATCCTCAAAACGATTACTTAAAAGTAGTGATAAGCTGACTACATCGAGCCAGAACTGTTCAGAATTGTCGTTCACAATCATGGTAAAATGTTTTAACTTCCTACATGGGTTCCCTCGTGAATGGTACAGCCTATACAGCGTCGATGAAACTGTTTGGCATAAACACGGGACATTAGTAATTTTACGAACAAGACAGTTTGTGCGTTGTGAAAAGAATTAGGAGAATTCCGAAATAATGAAGAGCCGGTGGAAATGAAAAACAGGCACTACCGAAAATGCTGGCCATTGCAGGTCTGAAGGTTAATGAATGGCAGCAAAATGCACTTCTCAAATTGCAAAAGGGTATGGCACAAGTAGTTCATGGTGTTCGGCATATCGTAAAGTTAATGAGATTCTTTAGCCCAACTACCAGAACAATGGAGTTCACCCTATTTAGGAGGGTGGAATTCATCTTTTTTGTGAAGAATTGCACTCCTATCGATACCAGCTGCTTCGCTTATACATATTCGTTACTTCTTGTTGTACAATGCGGTCGATAACAATCTAATTAGTAAACTATTCAATATCGATTGTAGATTTTTTGATAACCAAGATTATTAATCAGATGACTAGAAAGTCCCTACAAGTCTCTATAAACATATGTAGTTAGTCCGCACTCATTCAAACCTCTCCAGCACGAGGCCCCTGCAAAAATTAGTGACGACACAAGATTTTCCATTAGGTGCGTCAGAAGTATCACCCTCGCCTAAATGATGACAAGTCGCTGGAGTGGGCGCCAGTAACGTACCCCTTCGTTCCCTTCGCGGCCGATGGACAGTCAAATGAACCTTCTTACTCGACAAAGTAAACATTGTTTCCATTTGTTTCTCGCTGTAGCCTGCCATCCTTCAATCACATATTTTCGCGTTTCAATTGAAACATAACGCTTCTAGAAGCTGCACTGGAGGAGGTGCTCTGCCCATCTCTTCATTTCGACGATGACTCCTGTGTAGAACGGTGAAATTCTGAACGAGGACTTGTTCCAGAACTATCAAAGTATTCTTCCATATCGAATAGGAACGACTTGATCTTCCAGGGCTTGGATGAAGCTATTAGTCACAGCACCCACTGACACCCAGTTGTCGAAGAAATGGATATCATACATCCGATAGGAACCGTTTCAAGAACCTATTGCTGTCCTACCATTCATGTTCATGTTCCTACTCAGTCAGGGCCGTATTCTAGAGGCGCTATTCGAGATCCATAGATATCTGTGCTAGGTCAGACTGGAAGAGTATGAATATCTTCCCGAGCACTTTTACATTTTTATGAGCACTAATTGCTTCAAAAGGTTCTCCCATGCGTTTTTACTGTTTTACCTCAGTTTCAATGTAAGTCGAACACCTTTTCACATAGCGAGGCTTTTCTGTGTCCTGCAAGCAGAACATCGTAAGGTTGCAGCAACCTCATTCAACGTTTCTAAGCTATACTTAAAATACTTCAGTACAGTCATGACGACGTTGGAGGGTCAACTTCAGATTTCCCACTTACACTCATTCTAATAGTGCCCATCTGGTGATGGATGTTTCTCTCGTGACCATCTACGTCTTAGAGATTTTTAGGAAAATTTCTTGATAATTTTTGGAGACTATCTTGAATCACACCTGATTTCCCTCATTTCTCTCAAAACTGATGCCCTTGAACATCGCAAGACTAAAGTATAACAGACACAAAAGAATGAAAAAAAATTTCTACAACAACTTCAATCTTAACCATTTTTTGTGGAGCAATCTCCGCATTTTTTACCTCTACATTTACTCTATATTTATCGGCTTTTTTGATGGAAAATTGAGGTAAAGGACAGAGTTAGTTAGTCAAGTTCACTCAAGTTGTATTCACCACTGACCAAAATAACTAATACTTCGAAAGGATACGAGCTCAAGTCAAAGTTCTCACTGAGGACGATTGCTCGCAAATGAGTACAGTCACTCATTTTGGTCAAGTATCGAATGCCTAAGTTGCCATGGGTGTGAAACCGATTGAGGAAGAGCAGCATTTTCGAGAGCTCAAGACAGAATTCCCAGAAAGATCAGAGCTTTGATTTGTCATTTTTTCAAAACCATTCCAGACGTGAATTATCCGTGCAAAATTGGATTTTTTCTATTAGAACATCACCTAGTTAAATCATTCAAGAAAGTGCTAGAATCAGTGCTAGATTACGGACTTGGCAGTGGGTACTTATTGTCTCCTGGGGAATTTAGCCTCCACAATTCCATTTCATGTTTCTCAGGCCCGCAGCAACGAAAATTGCTTCGTTGAATGGGGAATGTTAGTTATGGGGAAGAACACGTCCACTTGCCTTCCTCTTATGCCGTGAATCCACGAAGGCTACTTAAGATGCTCGAGGAACGGTTTTGCCCATTTTTTTTCGTTTTTGCAGCCTGCCCATCTTCGACCTCTGAAAGCAGCTAGCATTACAAGTACTCATAAGCTCTTGAATATCCTGCAGGTTCTGGAGCATTCAGTTGCGAGCTGAAGTCCAAATTGGTGAAGTCCAAATTAGTTCTGTGAAGATGATCCTTTCGAAGCAAAGCAGAAGCGAGCGTGTTAAGACCACTACTGGTACTGAACTTGTATTCCTATAATTCGCAAGATAGTGTAATGGAGCGTGGCGCACTAGCACAGGCACAGTTTAGGGATCGAATCGCGGACCGATCCTGACTAACTAAATCTGACTGCCATCGCTTCGGTGATGTTTATTATTGTTGATACCAGTTTTGTTTGGAGGATGGAGCATTATCTTGAACATCACTTGGCTACCGAAAGTCATCGTACAGTTCACATACACCTTTGAACTAAACTACTGAAACTCTGATTCTAAGCAAAAAGCAAATATTAGGTGCGCTTCCCAAATACGCGAGTGATTGATGCCAGGAGCTTTATCCTTCGGACTCATCCACCGGAGTTTAATACAATTTCAATTCTTTGGTGAAATCCAGACTAGTTGATGACCTTGTCATATGAGATCCTTAACTATCGAAAAGAACCAATAGATTACTGCGTTATCGCGTTATATTTGTTATTATGATAAACTTTCTGAACATAAAGTGTACGTGCGGACATTTGCGAATTCTGGAAATAGTTCTTAGAAGGGCTAGAGGTTTGTTAAGGTTGAAAATGCTGCAAAAAAGTAGCGAAGTTCGTACGACATGAAAAAACCTTTTGCCATTCACAGCACTTTAACAGCATTTTACCAAGAGGAAGAGCAATTCTGGAATATTATGAAGTCAGGTGGTCCCTGCATCAATGAATCCACATTCAACTATGCAAATAGTGACGTGTACATAGACCTGAGGGTAACAGACCGACGCTATCAGGTTGCACGAATTGGGCCATACTCATGGTTGAGACCCCGATTTGTAAGGACCATTGTAAAGATATCCGGTGCCATTTGATCGATGCTGTGTCATAAGGGTTATCCTTCCTTTACATCGATCGACCTATATTACTGAGGCCATGGAAGAATCTCTTACGGAAGTTTTTCTATCTCCTGAGTCTAAAGTTACAAATACACCTTTATGGGCTGAAAAAAATCGGGGTATAGGTAGGATTGTGGGAGGAAATGCATGAACACATCGAAATTATTGAACATCAAGTACATTTTACCATTCATCAAAAAGTGGAGGGAAAAGGCGGAAACGCAATTGTAGTGCCGAAAACTATTCAATTTAATATGTAGTATTATACAGGCCCATAACAAATGAAGTCAGGAGGTAGAAGTCTACCCTACTGGGTAGTATAGGAGTCCACCTAACCAACATTACTTGCCGGTAGACAGTTTCGAAGCCGGACTCTTAGAACAAGGCTCAAGAATAGTTTCTAGATCCCCCGAACACCGAAGATTTTGGAGATTGAGCCGGAGCATATGAGTAAATTATCAACTTGCAAACTTATTTTCGATGCTGTATGATTGTTACTTGCTGTTTTTTTCATGCAAGAGCAGATTTTTCCTGTGAACAAATCTACAGTGAGTTTTAGCTTTTTTTGGAGGAATGAGAGTGGTTCTATATTCCAGTGTGACAGACTATTAAGTTAACGAATTCATAAAGAGGGCGGTTTTGAATGACTTAGTTGTTTAGCATCTTCAACAGCACATAATTAGAAAGTTTAAAGCCAGCAAATAGAGAAAGATCAGAGTGAAGCCAAAACGAAGGAAGGGGAGGGTTGCATTACCCTCAATAACTAACCCAATTTCAGCGAATGTTCATGGAGGAGTAGCGGTAAAACTCGAAGCCATTCATTCGGTAACCGATAAGTGAAAGCGCATTCGACCTCATAGCCAATTTTGTTTCCCAAATTCGATTTTCCTCAGCAATACCGTGCCTCAAGATGAGAATGCCCATCTTTATCCGGTTCTGTTCTCGTCTGTCCGAAACTCTGTCCCGTAGGAATTCCCGGCGAACCGGTGTCATGCGTTTATTGGGAAGCAGCTCCGAGTCATTTCCGACGTCGTCGAGGTCCGCCAAAGTCGAAGCCGCTAACCTAGTGATCCGAAGAGGAGCTTGCGGTTCCTTCGTGACTCCGCCTCCACTCGTTAGGCATTGAATGGAGGCTACTCGGCAGAGATGATGCTTTGTCTTCACTCGATAATTTGCTGACGGGGTTTTTTCATGTGAAGCAGTCAATCTCTTGGCTCTTTCCTGTCTTCTCGGCATAGCATAGCTAGGAAAAAACATTCTATGCAATACAACGTGCTTTATGAGGTTTTCTTAAGTCGTAGAACTCTTTAAAGTCTAAAATTGAGACTATTGTGGCTCTAAATTCTCAATTATATTTCGCTTCTCCTTGATTATCCAGCTGACCCAGTGCGTCAAAAGACCATTTCCCTATAATTCGCATGCACCCTTCAACTCATACTTTGCTATCGTTAAATTAAGTGCTACTGCCCACTTTTGTTTATGTCCAATTGAGACGATCTTTTGACTATTTATAACTTATTTTTGTAATGCAATTTTTTTATGACTTTTGAAACTTATTTGGTATGAACAGCTTTGTTCAAAGTTGAATGAACATCTTGTGTTGTCATTTCCTTCGATTTATGTGAAATGCAGCCAATCATTCGCTAAGTACGATGACCAAGCTTGATTTTTATCCTTGCACTGCACGCGGAATGAATTTGACCGATAAAGGTTGCTCCAGCCAATTAGTTGGCATTCTAATACTTCGATATTTTTGCCCTTACTTTTCTTTGTATTTTTAATCTGATATTTAAGAAGGAGCTGTTCACGAACCTTGACACGCTTGAGGACTTCCTTTGTCATCCGCCCTCTCTCGCAATCCCAGCCGCTTCTGGAGAGCATTTTTTGAAGTCTACTTTTAAGATTTTTTTAAACAATAAATGGAATGCGTTGCCAGTGAATTTAATCTCCTTCTTCCCATTCCATCTCTTTTTTCTTCGACTCCATTCAGTAGTATATCTCGATGGCTCTTTCTCGCGAAACCTTGGCATATAGTAACTGCTTTGATATTTCTCTTTTACCGACGTGGAGTCGTTATTTGGAAGTCTAGGTGATTCGACATACAAAAAAGGTAGAGTTCTCGAACTGCTCAGACTGAACAATACCCCTAGCAGAGGACCATTAGTATTTCTCCAGAAACAATCAAAGCTGTCCCACAAAGATGATTCTTTTCCATTTCTTCCATCTTTCTTTTTCTTTTTTAGCCATATTATCCACTAACTATCTCTTACTTCATATCCCCCATGACCGATTTTTCACTCGCTATTCTCAAGTTTGATACATGGCTTTCCGAAAATAATTTCCCGGTGACGTTTTCAGCTGGCTGCAGTGAATGGCTGAATTCGATTGAAACAAGTGTGACAGGAATGCAAACGATCAGGAGAAGCGGATCCAAGCCCGTTTTCCTCGCCTCCATCACATTACTTCTCTTTTCATTTACATTCACGCGAGGGTAAGTCTGACAGAAGACTGAGATAGAATCGATCCCTCCGTAGAGCCAGAAAAATCATTAGGTGCACACCAGTATAAAATCAGCCGTTTAATGTAAAAGGTGAAGAATAAAATTTTTGGTGTCAATCAATCTCGTTCTTGGGATACGCCCCCGCAGTCGACTTTCCTTCAGGGTTTTAGTGTCGTTTTCGATGCGTATTTGTTCGAAAAACAGGCTTGTTCTCATCAGATCAGTACTTTCATCCCCTCAGGCGAGTCTTTACTCACAGAGAGTTGGTTAGTTCAAGCGGATATAAGACAAGGATACAGATAAGGGTGGTGATGTAGTAGCAAGAGACGCACTATCACACACGCTGATCACGGGTTTGAATTCAGGATCAATATAGACCTAGACCGACCGAGTCTTTCATCCCTCCGGGGTGGGTTGAATGGTACCGGGCTCATCTAGGAAGATAAAAGCACTGGCTTCTATATCAGCCACAGCAAATCATTATAGAGGCCAAATATGCATTCAATCCTCCAGTGCGATGCTGTATGGAAGTCGAATGCGGGGGCGCTCCTATCAGACGGGATTGATTGACGCCTGGAACTTTATTCTTTTATCCTTTTATTTAGAAACATAAGGCAATTACCTTTTCAGCGATTCCCGCAGCAGAAGAAAACTTTTCTGGAAATCCAGGATAAACTATAAAGTGGCCTATGTAGTACTTCACAACTCCTCCAAGAATTCCGATTTCTTTCTTGCGGTCAGTACAAATGAGCAGATTCTGCCAAGAGTTTTATACGCACTCGATCGCCTTTCATTCGAGTCCGAAGAAGGCGTATGTGTGTGGCCTACAAGACGATTTGCAAGGGCAATGTTGTACTGTTATTTGGGCCCTAAAAAATGAAGGACCCGTACTGCATCTGTGATAACTTTGTTACATATGTAACAGCATCCCTATTCTACCATGGTGTAGGGACATCGCAGTAAAATTGAAGTAAAAATGAAGTAAAAATAATAACGAGGGGCGGGGGGGGGGCATTATATTTTGTATAGTCAATGCCGAATATAAAAGGCAAATTTTGTACATATGTTAACGTAGTGTATATGCAGCACTCTTAAGGTATGGTTGGAGGGCAGCAATCCAGTGTTTGCTGAGATGAGCTTCAACTTTCTGATGAGGCTTTATAGTGATTCTGCTCCCTCTTTGTTGCTGGTTGATTCACGCATTCTGGGTAGTATCTGTATGGTTGATTGCCGATACCTTATTTGAATACTTCTTACTTCACTGATTGCTTCCTTCAAAAACGTTGACTAGGTGCAGGCAAAGTGAGATCCTGTGGAGGTGCTCATTCTAAAACACTGGGTAAATACTGGCACAGTCGAACGTAGGTCAATCTATGACAGGATAATTTTTTCAACACCTCAAGTTTCAGCCTCAAAATAGGAGACTGGTCCGTATTTGGTGTTCAAAATCTCAGACATTATGAGTGCCCAATCAGATGCTAGTCTAAGATTTTACTGATTTCCTTTTACTGCTTGCAGAACCACCTAGGGCAACTGTCCAGAAAAGTTATACCTGACGGGAAACTATTTCCACCTGGCCTGAGTCTCTATGATAGAAAGTTATTTCTGTGTTTCTAGTATCGAATGGATATTTAAAACAGAAAGAAAAACTCTCGATTAGAAACCAGTTCTGTCCATAAAAAGATCCTCATGAAATTGATAGGTTATCTTTCCTTAATTAGACTGAGCACAGCACCCTTGAAATATCTTAAGTAGCCATGTATAGGCACATGATCATCTTGTTTGGTGTTGACGGCTTACTACCCCCAGGAGAGCAAAGAGAAGCCTACGAGCAAAACAGCAGTGGACACTCTCGCTAACATGAATTTTAAGAATTCGCAAAAGTAATCCAGCCACAGGTATTGGCCTATAACCTTAAGTGGTGTGAAAAATTGATGAATACTGGTATTCGTGAATTCGTAAGGCAATTGCGAAGCAAGCTCATGAGTGAAAAATCAATAATGATTCTTCAACTGATGGAAAATCGGTAACGTTTCTTCACTCGTTGATTACAGAACCGGTGCTGTACTATCTTAATTTTATTGGCAATTATAACCTCTGTTTTTTTGAGACCCAAATCAGCTATAGTATTATCAGTTGTACAGAGGTACTCAGGAAATTTCATTTTGGGACTCCACATTAAGTACCTAATAAAAGGACGACAGTACCGAAGGTGTCATGAGCACGAAGCCATGTTTCTCGTCCCTAATAAAATTCAATTTGGATAAAGAATAAAGTGCAAATCAAAGGCAATCACGGACTCATTCTTTTTTCTCGTGTTTTCTATTGTACTCAATTCAATTCTGTTTCAATTCCTTGGTGGCGGAGCGAAAAGGTGCGATCTCAGGGGATAGGGAATAAATGGCGTGCTTGAAATCGCAGGTACTTGCCCAGAGGCTCGGATGGAGTCGAGGGATAGCTTCTTGTATCCGCTGCTTTGGGTCGATCTATACAGGGTTACAGGGTGGTGCTTCTTCGCAGGCGGGTCGATGCATCCATGTGCGGAAAATTTATGGGTGTGGTTGCATTCGGCTCAGACAAAAGCTTGCACTCTAGCAAGTGGAAAGTAAACGGGGAGAGGGTTATTCGGAGCCGCCTTCAACGCTAGGACAACCTGGCAACCTACCCGTAGTGCATCCTGCCTTCATGTCGGAGTCTGGCAGGCTACTTGTGAGCAGGGTGAACATCTGTAAGGGTTTATCATGTTGACTAACACCAGCATGGTAATTTGTTGTACCACAAGTCCTCTCATTTGAGATGAACTTCGGAGTCATCTGGTGGACAGTTCCATAATGAAGTAGATCGCATCACCTTCAACCGAAACAGTGCCTGAGTGTCGTCACTGTTATATTACTTCGTAGTTTTTCACTGGAATCGGACCCTCGTCTCCTCCACGCTGGATCCTGTTTTTCACTGTGCTCCGAAGAAGAACTGAAGAGGGAGCTCCGAAGTTTAGGATGCGAAGCTCGAAGACCCTAATCAAGTTTGATGGCAGTGGGATCAATTCGCTTCCTTTGCGAGTCTATGGAAAGATTCCGCCGTGGACAACATCGATGAAGAACACAATGGCTCATCGAACATCGTCACGACAGTGTCATAAAGACAGAGAGTCCATAAGTAGACAAGGACCTCTGTCTCTGAAAAAAGTTGGGCTGATACGTCAGGATGGAATCGTGTGTGCTGCAAGCAATCTCAACTAACGTCCGAACATGCAAAACTATGAAGAGAAGCGATAAGGAATATCTGAAAAGGGAAGAGCATCAGTTCTGACCGAAGCCACCGAGGCTAGGAAGAGCAATCGCAAAGCCCGTCCAAGCTTCACCAATTGCAAGATCAAGAAGGCTTCTCTTCGTCGTCCTGACGAAGCAATTACAACATCTCGAAGGGTAATTGAGATAGTCATCTATGAATTCTACTCGGATCTCTTCGCCATCCATGTGTGCGCGGCTGCCTACCATATTTGGCAATACGGATTTATCGTCTCCTCAGTTCTCTTTCCCGAAATTCGTCGTACCATCACGTCGATGAAAAACTCTCAGGTCAGGTCCTGACGGGATCAAACCAGACTGAAAAGCTTCTATCAGTTAGCGCCAGAACCCTGAACAGGTTCTTCACACAGTCCCTATTAGATGCAAAGAGCCCACGTCGCGGAAAACTAGCAAGGTTGTAGTGCAGTGTAAAAAGGGAAATTCACCCGTCAGAGGGATGCGCCGCGCGC